GACATATTAATCTTGGACAAGTGGTATTCTAGGACATTTTAATATATTAATATATTAAAATGTCCTAGAATACCACTCCAGTTTTCAATCAAGTAAGAATCATGTTCAGCTGTTGAGATAGATATAGCGTTACATTTTTATAGGGAGATTTGGCTCAGATAAAAAATAGTGTTACTTTCTGAGTAAGATAAAAATTTATTTACAGTATGTTCAGGAATACTGAGCGTTAATATATATTTTTATGTTATACAATTATTACATTATTATACGTGATCCGCTTTCTCAATGTACTGGTAAAATAATACTTTATAAAATAAAAAAACGTTGCCAGAACTGACCTACATTATATAAAAATTGCAAATATACTTTATGGCTCAAGCTATTGCTTTACATGATGTGAATAAAAAATACTATTTTTTTACAAGAACATCTCCTAAATTTATTTTTGGTTTCTGATCATCTGTTGCCAAATATAATGATGATATGCAAAGCATCTTTTGGCTAAATTACTTACACAACTTCTTAATATAGTTCTCAAGTTTCAATGCTAATCTCAATCCCATTCTGAATTCTCTAAATTCCTGTTTGGTTAACTTGAGAAATAAATAACTGGTAATATTTTTCTTTCAAGTCTCATAAAAAAACTATCATCAAGTTCTATATGACTTAATTCAAAATCTCCTTGCAAAAAATTGATAAGTCTTACTATTTTATATTTTTCTAACCTGTCAGCTAGAGTAGAGCTAGAAGACATCTTGTTTTCCTAAATATAAGAGCCCATGGTGAGAAAACACTCACTCTCATATTTACATAACTTCTGACATATACATACCTATTTTTGCGTTATTTTACAGGAATGATTTTGTGAAAAATTAGCTGAAATTTCACATATTCTTACATACTTTATATCTTTCTGGAAAAATTTTAAGGAGGTATAAGGCATAATTAGTATTATTGTATAATGCCAAGAGTTTCATGAAAATGCATGAGAATGAAATTTTCAAACCTTTTCATATGTAGATCTATTCAGAAAGACCATAGTTAATTTTACATCTAGTGATCTCAAAATTGCAAGTTTTCAAGCCTTTCACAATATATGCTTTTGACATTAATATTAACTTTTACAGTAGGTTTTGTATTACATGTAGACCTTCTTTCACATTTTTCTCATGATTATTCGGGAGAGAAAGGAAAAAAAATAAAAAATAAAGGTTAATTCGTGATTCACTGATCATAGGATGTCGATCATATATGCAGGTAATAATTAAAGCGGGGATAATTAATATATTTAAAAAATATACTTGTAACAATCTGACAACAATGTTATTAAGATATTGTAATAAACTGTTCAAAAGAATGTCCAGGAGGTGGAAACCTTCGGTAACATTAATTGCTACTGGCATAATTGTTCCTGACTTGCACTTTGGGCCTTTTTTAAGAAACTGGTGGCATGTTAGAATATTGCAAGAGAATGGAACAAAAATTGAACAATACTACCCCTTTCGAGTTGGAATGAAAATACAAGTTGAGCTGAAAAACAGACTTTTTATTATTCGAGTTGTTCAAGGAAACAAACATAATAATTTATTACCAGGATTTTTATGTAAATCTTTATTAGAATCTAACGAAGAAGTTGAAAATGACCCTACAGTGCTATATTAAAATTGTACAAAAAAATATTTCAAACTAAAACGCGTTTTTCTGAAGCATTGATGATGGGTATAGAAGACAATAATATTTTAGATGAACTTGTGTCAGACTTATCCTTTCAACCTTTCATGATAAGTATACAACAACAAATCAAAAAAATCAATATAATGATATATTCAATTGGTATGCCAGCAAAACAAGGAGCCGGATGTGGATTTACTTCATCTTTTATCTATTTCAAATCTAAAGAATGTGCTTTATTTTTTCAAACTGTCAATGAAAATAGATATTCCATTCGTATTTACAAAGAAAACCAATTTTCAGAAGAATTTCATGGGTTAGATCCTAATAGCGTGTGGAAAAAAATAGATATATTAAAAGAGTGGTCAGGAGTAACTTTATTCAGCTTAGATAATTCTAGTGTAAAAAAAAAACTAGAACAAGTAAGAAAGTTGTTATGTTTTCATGATGAATGGCACAATTATTCAAAAATGGAGCAATTATTCAAATATCATCTACGAAAAAGAACATACAGCTAAGTTAATTGGTATTTATTGTTTCAGGAATGGAAGGAAAATAATTGTCAAATAATTGAACTACATAGTCGGTTAGATTTATTATATCCAGATGGTTATATTTTTTCTGAAAGGGAAATTCGAGCATGGCGTGCAATGTTACGTGCTACTGGATGTGTTAATATAACACCATTTGATAAAGAAGAATCGGAGGTGGGTTATTATTTTTGATTGAATTCATTGTTGGATTGCTTGTAGTGATAGATGCGGGAATGGATGTGGTAATGGATGTGGTGATGGATATAGTGATGGATGTGGTGATAGATGTTGGTGATGGTAGTATATAATCCGGTGGTGTAATTTTGTGATGATAAATTCACCCTTATTATAAATAAATAAAATAATAATTTAATTAAAAATTGCTTTACCAAATTTTATAGTATGAATTTTGGACTCGATCATCCAATCCTGAATCAGATAAAGCAATGATCAATATGCTTTACCAAAGTGGTTTTCTACGAACAATACCCAAGCAAACATTTAATGCTACAGAAGTATTTTGGGAATTTTTGAACATAGCCTGAGTTTAAATAAATGTGGTGCTAATGGAAAACAAAGAATACTTTCAATTATTGCAGATAAGTTCCCTTATAAAGAATTATAAACTAGACTTCATGTAAATATTTTATATTACCTTTGGATAAAATTTTCTTTAACTAATTCATTATCTTTTTATAGGTTTCTTCACATACAATTCACAATGCAAAAATACATGGACGCGTATTTGGTCATAGATGTTCAGCTGTACCTAAACCACCAATGCGAAAAAAAATTATGCCTCAAGAGCATAAAGATCAATTTGAATAGTTCATGAGTAGTAAGAAAAATGTGAACTTAAGCTCTTACAAAGTTGATACAAAAACGGGATTGCCATTAAAATACCTTAGTGATCAAAAAGAAGCTCTTTGGGAAAAATTTCATAAATTATATTCTGAAGGAATGAGGAGATCAGCATTTTTAAAAAGATTGCGAAATGAACCATTTGTATATCAAGAGAATTTGGGAGGACTTTGTAGTACTTGTAGTACTTATGGATATGATGTGTTTAAGGATTTAGCAAATCTAATTATACAAAATATTGAAGATCAGGAGCTTCAGGTAAGGTATGATGAATTCTAATTTTTTTTTTATAAATATTTCAAACTAATATCAAAATTGTTAAATTAGACATGTTTACTGAAGAATATTGAAACTTTTAAACGATTTCTTAAACGTGATTATCCAAAACACTTACATGTGACTTGTAATGGAACGGTATCACATGACTCTTGTATTAATCATTGCTTACCATTTGCATTTGGTAATTGTAATGAGAAACATCTATTAGAATGTGGTGAATGTAATGAAATCTTCAATTTATTTGAGAAATTACGATCATTGCTTGGAAATGAACAACAAGAAGTATTGAAAAAACTTCAGGAAATGTTAAAATATTACCTTACACATTTAACAAGAAAGGAATATTTGAATAGTCAGTTCAATGCAAATCTTTTACAACTTAATAATGATGGAATTCTT